GACAGCCCTCTGTTTTGCCTACATGACATTCGGCCTACAGGTAGCCCACAAACTACTTTCTGTTTTCAATACATGATACACACCATAAAATCGTAGAATTTAAATCTAGCGAAGGCAAATGCATTCCTCTTGCCTCCTCTAATTCGTTTCGCCCAATGGTAGGAGTGGTGTCGACAACCTGGAAAAAAAATATCCGCATACAATTTGCCTCTTCTAGTGAGTCATCCTTCCCCTTCAGTGATACTTTCATCGCAAGTGAATTCGAGGTTTATCCAGACCTCAAACATAGAAGGAGTCTATAGAGTAGTAGTTCGAATATTAACTAGGACGCACCAGTATCCGAGATTGGGACATCATTCGTCGATACTGTCCACTAACCCAGGAATAATAATTGAATGTTTGCATTTTGGCGGTAAAAGGTAGTCGACCTGTGCGTGATTCAAGAGTAGGACAACAGAAGTGATATGCTCGTTCAGTTATCTTCCCTGCGAAAATATCTTTCAGGTTGTAAAAGTATACAGCTGCGAACATAATGTGAAAATATAAAGGACTCATTGGGACGTATTTATTGAACTGCTGACGTTCAGGGGAGCTTGGTTGAATTACCATTGCTAAAACTTTTGATGCACAAAAGTCCATCAGTTTCAGGTCGATTGGGTCGGCAAGCCGGATGCATTTTGAAAATTCAAAATGCTGTGTTCTCCATTTGTTAGCTTATTCATACAACGAGAGGAAGCAGCTGAAAGGCTCTCCCGAAATTTATTTGTACAAATAAATATGACGTTTTAACCATGGCGAGTATACTGAGGTCTTCGAAACGTCTAGAGTTAAATAACCCGGTCCCGCTAAACTCGTCTCTGCATCAAAGGGTAAAATTCTAGTTATTTTGCTGAGATTTCTCAGTGGGCGGGCTTCGTAAAAAACATGTGTATGAAGAGCTTCAAATAATAATTTGCTTTAAATATGCCATGCATGTACTTTATCTCCTCCTTCCCCAATTTTGTCACTGCA